CCATGGGGGAAGAGGGCGGCGGCCGCAGCTGTGGGACCACTAGGGAGCTGCAGAAGCTGAAGCAGCAGGCGATGGAGTACTACCGGGAGAACGACGTTCCGCGCAGGCTGGAAGAGCTGCTTAACTCCACCTTCTACCTCCAGCCTGCCGACGTCTACGGGCACCTGGTAGGGACCTGGGAAACGTACCCTTCGGCCTCCAGCCTCTCTCCCTCCGCCCCACGCTGCGGCAACGCGGTGCGCCTGCGCCGCACGTTCCCGCATGCGCGCCACCTCCGGGCCCGGGCTTTGCTTGCGCAGAGAGGAGATTCCTGGCGGCAAGCGGCGGAGGGCCCACCCGAGAACGTAGGATTCTTGAGAAAGTGATGGAAAGGAGGCAGCTCGAGGAAAGAGGGCTCCGGGAGGCTTGGGGACTGTGTGGCCCGGCAGTCTCCCTCGCGGCCTGGGGGACTCGCTGCCCCTGGGGCTGCCTGCCATGGCTGCCGGTTGTCTTTTGAAACACAGAACTTAATGCCCCTTAGCTTGACTTACCGACCTTCAGCGGCCCCCTTTGACCACGAGGTGAACGCTTTGGCATTTGCTGCAACTTGGCCTCAGCCCACCCTGGGGCCTCATCCAACTGGCTCCCACTACTTCCAAGTTTTGCTTCCGTTTCCAGCCTGCCCTCCTTGGCTGGTGCGTTCTCCTGCCTGGATGCTGTCCCCACCTGACCAGTGCCTCCCGAACGTCACATTCAAACTAAGTGGTGCCCCCGTCGCCCTGGATTAATCGTCCTTCTGTGTTCCTATAGCATTTCTTGCCTGTATTATAATCGAGGCAGCCTCCCTAGGCAGCTGCTGAGCCCCTCTTGAGCGAAGGTGCTTTTTCTTGGTGGCCAGCACCAAGGCCTGGCACATATCTTAGTCTTAAGCAGTGAGCAGTTGAAGCAAAGGCAAGCGTTTTCTACCTTCTAGATCCTTAAGTGTGGTTGGGGCCAGTAGGGGTTTACTCTGTGGGGAGGGAAAGCAAAGGGGCAATGGGACAACACCAAGCAGAATGTGTGTGCTGTGAAGAACATGACGTACTACTGTTTTGCTTCCGTTTCCAACCTGCCCTGGTTTTGAAGGGCTCAAAACCATTTCTTGTTGAGGCAGTTGGATATGGAGGATGATGCTCCATGAATGTTTTTTCCCTGTCACGCCCTATAAATGGGGGGTGGGGGGTGCACTGCAGTGTTTTATGACTCCCTTGTGCTGTGTGCTTTATCTCACTTAGTCCTTAGAACCACTGCGAGGTAAAGACTATTATTCCTATTTTACAAATAAAGAACCTTTGGCCCAATGAAATGTAAATTGTTTCCCTAAGGAGAGAAGAAGAAATGTTCTTCCCTGTTTAATAGGCAGCCAGAACATTAATTTGTACAGCTCTCTGGAAGCTTATACCTTAGAGACAAAAGCCACTGATACATACAATAATTGTAGCAAAAGATAAGGTGACATGACTGTGTGTTAGATTGAGGAATAAATTACTCTATTCCTTAAAGGAATTCAGGGCCGGGCTCAGTGGCTCAGCGTTTTGGGAGACCGAGGTGAGTGGATTGCCTGAGCCCGCAGGTTCGAGACCTGCCTGGGCAACTTGGCGAGACCTCATCTGTACAATAAATCAAAAAAATTAGTCGGGCATGGTAGTGCGCGCCTGTAGTTCCAGCTACTTGGCAGGCTGAGGCAGAAGGATCGCTGGAGCCCAGCAGGTTGAGGCTGCAGTGGCCGGGAGCGGCCATTGCACTCCAGTCTGGGTGACAGAGTGAGACTCCAACTCAAAAAAAAAAAAAAGGAATTCAGGGATGGGGAAGATCTCTGTAGGCTGTACTATCCAGAAAAGCTTTGACTTAGACTTTGAAGAATGTTCAGGAATTGCCTTGGCAAAAAGGCAACCTCCTTTTCATTTTCTTAGGTACTGCCCTTGTATTGGCCATCCTTACTCTCACCTAGTCTCTTCTCTATTATGTCCTTCCTGCATAATGTTGCTAAAGCACTGTTCCTGATACTCAAGTCTGACCATAATTCTCTCCCTTAGAAACCTTGAGTGGCTTCCCTTGTTTGCTGGCTTTTGTGTGCATGATTCATAGTGCTCAGCCCCTGCCTCTGGTAACAGGCTCATCTTCCATTCCCTGCCCTGCTTCTCCATACTGATCACTGATTCTTCCTTAAAACCTGAAGTTTCCCACTTCCCTCCCTTTGGCTTATCCTATTCCCTCTACCTGAAGTATCTGCTCTTCACTTCTCCCCCTTGTCCACCAGTTCAGCTCAAATAGTATTTCTTCTATACCTCTCTGACATATTAGAGTAATTCAGGGATAGGGAAGATCCCCGTAGGCAATAACAACACTGTTTATTTCATCATAAAACTTAGCTTGAGAGAGTTTTGGATTGGGAATAGGCAGATATAGTTTTGATTCTTAGCTCTGGCACTAACTGTGGTAGAGCATTATGTTAATGGTCCCCCAATGACCCACACCTCAAGCATGAACTCTTTTATGTAAGTCCCTCTCACATTGACTCTGGACTTGGCCATGTAACTTTCTTTGACCAACAGGACCTTGACAAGCATGATACAAACAGAGGCTGAACAAGTGCTGGCATACTGAGGCTTGTCCTCTTGGAAGCTAGTCATCATGCTGTGAGGAGACTCAGTCACCCTGCTGGAGAAGAGAAATCATGTAGAGAGAGGCCCTGGAAGCTGTGAGACTCAAGGATAGCCTATAAGACAGACGCTCAGCTAGCCCCTCATTGTTTCAGCCATCCCAGCTGAGCACTGGACATGTGAGTGCAAACATCTTGGCTATTCTGGCCCAAGTCAAGTCTCCGGATGACTGCATCTGCATAAGAAACATCAGGCAAGACCAGCAAAAGAATTTCCCAGTTGAACCTGGCCCAGATTAAGTTTTGGGGTGCTGTTTCAAAGCAGTAGATAACTAAAACATTGGCTGTGTGATCTTGGACAATTTATTTCTCTGGAACTCAGTTTTCTCATATGTGGAATAGAGATGGTACTACCTACTTAGAGACTGTGCTAAGAATTTAATGACATTATACAAAGTGCTCAGAGATGTTTCTGGCATTTATTAATTCATACAAGATTTTATTTATGGAATCCTATATATGCCAGGCACCGTGGTATGTGAGTCAGTGATAAAGAAGATTTAATCACTTCTTCACAATACATATTTAAAAATGGGAGTTCCCTTCCTCTCCTACTACAATGTGTGCCACATTGTAGGTGTTCAGTGCTTGTTAAATTGAACTCACCATATATACAAAGTGTGAGCTAAATAACATTTTTCCTCTCCTGCTTCTATCTAAATCCTTTTAGTACTTACTCTGTAACATACAAACTATCGTTCATGAAAATTGGTTTCTGCTTTAGTTCTGATGCAGCTCCACCTCTGAGCTAGCATATCACTGTTAGATGACCTGTCACTGGATTTTGAATGGAAAGATGTGAACCTGGTCTCCTAAATGAAAACGGACCCAGTATTATGTGATAGTAAAGAGGGCAAGGAGGATGTGCCTTCACTGCCCTCCTTGCAGTCTTTCCCAGCTCCTCCTCTGTATAGAAACACCATCTCAAATCTTTTACACAGGTTCCTTGAGTGGGCTTCTACCTTAGCTTCTCTTCCTTCAGCTTCTTTCTTGGATCACTTCCAAGTAGCTTCTGCCTTTCCACACAATGAAACTGCTATTACCAAGGTTCCCAACAAGCCCCTTTGAACACAGGACTATGCATGAGCTGACGGTGACATGCAGCTGTTGCCTAAGTCTTCACCATTCAAATACCAGATGCCTGGCTGGGAAGAGTAAAAATCAGGCCACTTCAGGTTTCTTTTTTTTGTTTTGAGTTGGAGTCTCACTCTGTCACCCAGAATGAAGTGCAGTGGTCACTCCCGACCACCGCAGCCTCAACCTTCCAAGTAGCTGGAACTACAGGTGTGCGCTACCATGCCTGGCTAGTTTTTTTTTTTTATTTATTGTAGAAATGAGGTCTCACCAAGTTTCCCAGGCGGGTCTCGAACCCGCGGGCTCAGGCAGTCCACTCACCTTGGCCTCCCAAAGCACTGGGATTACAGGCTTAGCCACCGAGCCTGGCCTCAGGTTTCTTAAATTGGAATGCATCACAGCATTCTAGAGACCACTGGGCTTCTGGATCTTGAAAAGGGGGATAGCTTTGGAAACTGAGCTGACTATAAGAAGTCCTGCTAGTGTCACAGGGCCTTTAAATTAAGAAAGGTCTGCAAGCTTCTGCTGAAAGAGTTCAAAAGACAACAAATTGCCCCATGTATCAGAGACTCAGGACCAGCCTGAATCCAAATCTTAGTATGTGGGGGCAGGACAGTTCCCACAGAACTGCTGGTCTAATCCTGGAACCAGGAAGGATAGTCATGGAGAGGTTGAGAAGAAACTAAAGTAAATGTGAATGACCTGTTGAAGATTAATTAGATGTGGTATTGTGATTTTGGTTTTTTTGTGTGTATTGAAGGCAAACTGCTTTTCTAAACTTGCAAAGCCTCCCACCATATGCAAAATAGTGGGGAAAGAAGTACTGGATGGACTTGGGCTTCCAACCCTGCAAGTGGAAATATTCTGCACCATTCAAAATTTTCCCAAGGTATGAAGCAGTTTAAATGCATTTTCAAATATGTCCTTGTTCCGCTGCATTTATTAGCAACTCTTGTTTAAACTGCAGAGAATGAATGTTTTGAAATTCAGTGTTTGTGAAATATGTTTCATAAATAGTCATGGAAGCATGAATCATACAGTCAGCTATGATGGTTCCATTAGAGAATGCTAACCTGAAGACAATCCAGGATGGTGAAAGGAAATGGGGCAAAGGTAGTTTTAAAACTCTGACAGTACCAACATGATGAGCGCTATAAATCGATATATAGGTTTATAGATTTATATATTTACGTACAGATTTATAGATATGTAGACTGACCTGAATAAAGAAAATAATCCGTTTTAATTTACAATTCATTTTAATTCACTTTAATTGCTACATATTTGTTTGGAATCATTTTTGCTACAATTTCTGGGAGGAGAATAATTATGATTAAATCTTTGTATTCTTGTAGCTATTTATTGGAGAGGCAGTAATAAAAATGAAGTTCAATGAAGGGTTTTTATAACAGTATTTGAACGAGATAGTAATTTTAAATGTTCTGTGAAGTTGGGTTCCACTGTGTTTCAACAGCTATAAAAATATCTCAAAGAAAATTATATATTCTCATTTTTCCCCTTGAAATAGCTGGTAAAATATCATGCACATTAAAAGTTGGATTAATTCAATTTCCTATATCTATGAGAGGTAGGGAAGGTGCAGAATATATTTATATAATTTCAGAGCATGTGTTCGGTGGTAATCTCAACTCACTTTGAAGTCTATGAGAATGCCCTGCCCGAGCTGGCAGATATGGAGGAGGCAGACAGGGCCAGCGCAGTCAGCACGGCAGTGCAGTGGGTCAATGGCACCATCACCCACGAGTTCCAGGGTGTCGCACCCTCTGACCAGGCGTACGTGGATTACCTGCTCAGGTACAGCTTCCACTGTGAAACACATCCATTGAATTTCCATTTCACCTCCCAGTAAAATGGGTCTATCAAATCTATAGAGTTGGGAAGTCAGTTTAAGAAGTATATGTTAAAGCAGTAACATTTAACATAAAATACTGTAGTTTTTCCTCCTGAAAACACTGTTATCAGCAACTTACTGTGTAAGGCTACATAGGGCCTTTCAGTCTCTTTTAGGACCTAGAGATTTCCTAGAATTCAGTTCAATTTTCTCAGAAAGAGAATCAAGTTACAAATCCAGAGTATACCCTTTCCCTCTCCCCACCCCCTCATATACCACCTGTGAGCATCTCATGTCCTTTCATGTAATCACAGCAGCTGACACTTACATTCTGTCTTCCAGCCACAACTAAGTCTTCCAAGCTTTCACCATAAGGGAAAGTAACATAGGTTACTCTAACATTCGAAAACCCAGGAAGTGGTTACTAGGGCTACATATGCATTGTTCAATGCCCAAGTACTGCATTAAGTCCAATGCCACACCCCCTTGGTGACATGAATCTCAATTGGATTCTCTTTCCTTAAGCTTTATCACTTGCTTAATTGTGTAGAATATGTTTTACTTTGCCTCAGAATTCAATGATGACCTTTGTAAGAAAAACTTTTGAATAGTTTTTAGTTTTCCTAGAGTTTCTGAATGCTATTTCTCTATCCCCTCTTATTTTGGGGAGATCTTATCTGATATTATCATCTTAGTTTAACTCCCAAGTGCTCATTCATACCTTCTATTTTATTACATTCCTTTTTTTCCTGGAGTTTTCCTTCCCCTAGCCTCCCATCTGAACTGCACCTCTCTAGACCTACTACAAAGATGCCATAAAGGCTGAGCGAAGTGGCTCACGCCTATAATCCTAGCACTTTGGAGGCCAAGGTGGGAGGATTGCTTGAGCCCAGGAGTTCAAGACTAGCCTGAGCAATATAGTGAGACCTCACATCTACAAAAAGTAAAAAAATTAGCCAGGTGTGGTGGCACATGCTTGTAGTCTCAACTACTCAGGAGGCTGAGGGGTGAGGATTGCTTGAGCCCAGGAGTTTGAGACTTTGGTGAGCTGTGAGCATGCCACTGCACTCCAGCCAGGGTGACAGAGCAAGACTTCAACCCAAACAAACAAACAAAAATGCCATTTCTGGATCTCATATCCTCCTCTTTCTTGATTTCTAGATTACATCCTTTAAAAGTAAGGATAAGAAAGTGTATGTAGGATGTAAAATTTGGGGGTTCTTACATGTATAGGAATGTCAGTACTTTGCCCTCATAGATGATAGTTTAGCAAGGTATAGAATTCTTTGTTTCCATCAATTTCCCTCATACTTTAAAGGTATTGCCCCACTGGCATTTGTGGCATTATTCATAAATTTGATGATTCCAATGTCTTTGTTTATTGATTGCTTGTTGTTTGTGTGTGTGTGTCTCCATGGAAGTTCTTTTTAGTCTCCTCTGGGAGGGTGGGAGGGTTACAGCTTACAATTTTATGTAAATGTGCCTAAGTGAGAGTCCTAAAAGTTTTTTTTTAAGTATTAATTTCAAGCCCTCTGCCCTCCCCCCAACAAAAGAAAGGAAGTCTTCCACATAATGCTATATTTCATTTCACTGTCTATTCTTGGTGCATTTGTTTTCTAATGGTTATTAATACAAAAAGAAAATCTAGAACCCTTTAATCAAATTCTGTCCTCAAATTCTACTTTAAAAATGCAAATAGATGTAGCCCCAACTACTTGGGATGCTGAGATGAGAGGATCACTTGAGCCCAGGAGTTTGAGGCAAGCCTGGGAAACCTTGTGAGGCACCGTCTCTTATAAAAATAAATAAGTAAAAATAAATTTTTAAAAATGCAAACGTGGCTCAAATAATTTCAAAAAAATAAACACCTGAAATCTTTAAACATTTATTTCCAGGCCAAAATGAATTTCAGATCTTGTACACAGTTTTGTAACAGCATCATTATTTTCTGGCCTTGGAAACTGAAGCTGATTTGTTCTTAAGTAGCTAAAAAGCAGAGTTATTTATTGAAATATATTGGGGTCAGCTCTAGAACATGACCAAAATTAAAGAGTGTGATCCCTAAATATCCCATTGTAAGGCTGTATTTTCTTGCCATTAAGGACATTCTTTGCACGTAAAGTGCAAGAAGATAAGGAGAGACAAGAATTGGAAAAGAGCCTGGAATCCTCAACAGTGCCTACACCTCTCCCTCCAATACCACTGTCAGCTCCTCCACCTCCTCCCAAAAAAAAAGGGCAAAAGCAAGGTTAGTGGCTTATCATCTTGCAGACCCCTGAGTAACAACTGTGTGAAGGAGAAAGGCTGAAGCTTGGACTGCCTCTCTGAGTCTCTTTGCTGCAGACCCAGGTTGGGCTCCCAGCCAAAAGCTGTCCATCATCTATGCCACTTCCTCACTCTAGGTTTTACCTCACCCCATCTTCCATTTTTATGTGCAAAATAAAATGATTTCTTCCAAAAAGTAAGAATAGTACTTACTGTTAAGTAAAGTGCATTGAGCAGTGACAATGTGGGGGGTGGATGTGGATGAGAGGATGAGATGGCATGGGGGAATTTTTACCTTCCCTGATCAAAAAGCCACTCCATATTTTTTAAAGTTTTGATTTCTTTGATATGGACATTTTCTCAGTCCTGTGTAACATAAATAAGCATTTTCTTTAGAAAAGTTTGTCATTTTAAAGCAAATAACTTATGATTATTTTTTCCCATTGTTCTATGCCTTCCAATAGCCTGCTAACCAGAGCCTCTCGAGTATGTTAATTCTGGAGCTGCTCCTAGCATTGACACAGTGTTTGTATGTCTGCTGAACTAGAGTTTGCTCCTTGAGGGCACAAGTCATGCTTCATTCAACTTGCCATTATCCATATCTAGCATGATGCTAGGCACAAGTCAAACACCTAACAAATGCGCGTTCCATTGAATATGAAACTACCAGAACCAGGAAGGGACCAGAAAAACCACAGAGACAAGGTCCTCATTTCATAGATTTGAAACCTGAGGCCCAGAGAGGGGAAGAGAATTGCCCAAGGCAAAATAATTATATCTGACCAATCTTCTCTTGGGAGGGTGGGATGGCCACTTCTGAGTTAAAAGCCAGGATCAACTGTGGATGTTTAATTGGTGGTTGCTTTTGACTGATAGAACCTGGAAATTAAGAGAAAACATAGGAGGAGACAGGTATTGGCTAAGCAATTATGTATGAGGTGCTTATGTTATCTTATCTCCACTGGGGACCTGAACCACATCAGCAGCTGTGGAGGAAAGAACAAGAGGAACATTAGAGATGTATGATGGATTCTGTAATACCTCGCCAGACGGGGTGGCTGAGAATATATTAGAGTGAGAAATGGGTCAGGAATAGTTGGATCTAGAGGGCATTTCTAAAGGTTATAAACAACACAGAACAGGGCACCGGTTTGGAGTGGCAGAGAAATCTCCAACAAGTTAGATACTAGGTGTAAAGATATGTTCAACAGAAAGTTGAACATATGCAGCAGGTATGGTGAGATACAGAAAAACAAAGGATTTGGAATTCAAGACTGTTACAACCCTCTGTCTACTTTTTGTTACATAGTGGGCAAGTCTCTTAACCTCTCTAAGCCCCAGGTTACTTATATGTGAATGTGTAGAATAAGAATATCTACCTGATACAATTGTTGAAGGAGTTAATACTGAATGGCCTAGAATTTCTTAGAGAGACAACATCCATGGCTAAGGATTATTTCAGCATCCATAAGTGAAATCAAACAGAAAACTTCTTGGGGGTTGAGGTGGAGAATATGTTTCTTCCCATCCTCAGCTTTCATCCTTTCTTTTTCCTGGGACTTCCCATCTGTAAGTAAAGCATTTAAAAATACAGTCTTACTCTCAATATTTTTCCCTCCAGGGAGGAAGGATACTGTTACAGAAAAACCTATTATACCTGCGGAACCTGTTGAACCTATACTCTGTGGCAGTATGGCCATAGGGGCCGTGTCACTAGCTGTTGCCAAAACCAATGCGGTGCTGATCAATAAACCTCTATACTTAAATATTGCATTACTGAAGCACAGTCAGGTTGGTATCTACGATGCGCCCTCACAAGGAGCCATGAGCATCTTAACATGAATGAATCATGTTTCTCATTTTTCCTTGCTTTCTCCCTATTTTAGGAACAGCCAACGACACTAACTATGCCTTTGTTGATGGTATCTCTGGTCAGCTGTGGGAAGTCATCACCTGGGAAGCTAAATTTAATGAAAGAAGTGATTTGTATACCCCATCCTGAATTAACAACCAAACAAGTAATGTACATTATCTCAAATTCCTTTTTCTAAAATGCAAGACACAAAAACTCCATCATGATGAGCTCTTAGTACAGCTCCCTTGTGACACCAAGGGGGAGGGAATTAAAGATAGAATGAGAAAAAGTATTTTAGGAAATCAGGGAAGTGGGAAGAAAGAAAGATCTCAAACAAAAGGAAACACATTAAGGCCACCTTTGATGTCTAGTTTGTTACAGCATTGACTCATACTAGTGACTCACAAAGAAACCATGAGTGAGTAACTCTGCAGGGCTTGGTAGTACTGGAAGTTGTTATTTGGGGGAGTTGGGATATCTTTGTTTACTCTGTGCTGTGTACTATGGCAGCAGAAAATGAAAGCTAGCACCTTCCTAGCAGCTCACTCTATTAAGAACTCCAGGCCTAGTAGACTACCTGCCACACACAAGATGTTTAGTGCATATTTATGGAATGAATAAATCTCAAGTTGCATCTTCACCACTTGGGGTATGTTGGAGTCTATAATGCTCTTCAGCAAACTGAGAGTCAATATGCCTCTTTAAATCTTCATGACTAAAGGTTCATAGCTTTCCCTGCACCCTCTCCAGTAATGAATTGAGTGATATTTTATCTAAGTTCACAAATTAGTAAGAAATAATGTCAAGGTGATTGCAGGTTCTTGCCGTCAGCCAGGCTGGAATGCAGTGGTGTGATCCTAGCTCCCTGCAGCATCTAACTTCTGGGCTTAAGTGACCCTTCTGCCTCAGCCTCCCATAGTGCTGGAATTAATTACAGGTGTGAGCCATCATGCCCACCTGTAAGACGATTTCTTTATGATAAATAATTCATTTTTTTAAATAAAATAATTATTACCTCACAATTTATCAATTACAAAAGACTGGGATTGATATCTGGCTTACCAGCTGTTAGATCATATTCAGCTCCTGAAGTCAGGCTCTTTCCTTAGATAATATCTGTTGAGCTATTTGGGTACCAGAGCACTAGGCATGCCATTCTTTATTTGGCTTCGTATGCAGATCGCATCATCAGCACACCCTTTTTTACTTTTTAAGTAACAGTGAATTTATACTGTTTAGCCATTCTAATCCAGACTACCTTGGTGACCTGTGGCATGTCTGGCAAGGTTGTCCAGGTTTGTCAGAAGGCCAGAAAATAGAATAAAGTTATCTTGATCCAACCAATTGAATCAGTCAGTTCTCAACAATGAAGAGAGGCTACTGAGGAAGAAGAGCCTCTCATTCACACTGAACTGAATGAAAACTGGGGCTAAAGATTGACGTTTAATCTTCTGATTTTGTAGACTACATCATCACTAAGCAGGGTACTTTATCGGGGACTCTACAAATATTCTGAGTTAGAAACAGCCACATGTGGCATAAATTTTTTTAATTTTAAATTTCTAGACTGCAATTGCGGACGATCATGGTTATTCTATTTACAGGGCATGCAGATGCTTATGGAAATTCAGAAACAGATTAACAAAATAATTGAAATGGTAAGTAAAGAGATTCTATGGTATTTAGTTACTGATATGTATACAACTTCTAGCGTCCAACTCGTATTTCATTTGGAACTAAATCAATATTGCTGATATGGAAAATACTTATTTGCTTTGAGTTCCCCATAGGAACTAAGCGTATACATCTCCGCATTGGCTATGGATCCAGTTTCTAATGGTACTTAACAATCTCATTTCCATTTCTGAGGCATCTGGCTTTGTTCTAAGAAAATCCCTTAGGATTTACTAAGAAAGAAAGGATGTGGCCCCCAGGGTATGAGAGGCAGCTTGGTGGAGTGAAGGCACAGATTTTCAGGCCTGCTAGAATCTCAGTGTTGGGCAAACAAGGGCCCTTGGCTGAGCAGCCCTCTGGAGGCAGTCAGAGGCGGGTATATGAATTGCCATCATATTCATATATGAATGTTGCATATATTCTAACCAGGGCAGTGCACAGTGACATGGCAGGGCTGAGGTCAAGAGAGGGACCCATCCTTGTCTGTGGGGCTTCTAAAGTACTCTGTACTTTTACTTTGGAATATTACATTTACAAAAAAGTTGCATTTTCTAAACAGAAAAGTACAGAAAATACCCTTGAATACTCCTTACGCAGTTTCCCCCAATGTTAATGATACAATATATGGTACATTTGTCAAAACTAAGAAACCAAAATGGTACATTACTTATAACTGAACTCTAGACTTTATTCAAATTTCACTGATTTTTCCACTAATGTCTTTTTTCTGTTCTAGGATTCCACACTGCATTTAGCCTGAGGCTTTTAAGCTACATGTTTAAGAAACAGTAGGATGGGGGCCCAGATACAACAGCAGTATAACATGGAGGAACTTTGGTTCTTTCTCTGTTTTGCCAGCACAGAGGGTAACTGCAGGCAGGGAGCACCCGCTCTTCCCCTACCATGATGGGGGGTGGGCTGGGGCCCAAGCCTTGCAGTTGATCAGAATTGCTTTAAGTACCAGGCTGGAGCTGGTTTCCATGGCACTTTTCAGGAGACCAACTTCCTTTCTGGATGACTCGGACTTGAACAAGTTAACTTTGCACTCTGCTTTGTCACTCACAACTCTTGTGACCTTGGGCCAGTTATATATCCTCTCTGCCTTGGGTTCCTCACTTATAAAATGGAGATAAGTGCCCATGTCATGAGGATGACTGTGAGGAGTAAATGAGTTAAAGATATGAACCATGCTGCAGCAGGAGCTGGCAGAACTGGAAGCCATACTTGGTGTTTGCTGTGATTAGAGCAAGTAAAGGAATCCCAGTTTCAAATACTAGGAAATTCAGGACATTTCAGCATTCTGCAATTCATTAAATTAAAAAAAAATTTTTTTTAGTTGCCCTTGAATTCTGAAATCTTTCCTGACATCCTGAGTTTTAAATGTTTTATTTTTGATTATACAATTAGCTAATTGTATAATGAATGTTGCTTATGAAAATGCAAATACTGATAGAGCTACCTACCCCCTGGACCAACCTCCTACCAACTACCACCCTCAGTACCAAACCATTCTCTAGAGCTAACCATCTTTAAAAAACAAGTGCGACCTTCCAGTCTTTTTTTTTTAAATACATGCAGACACAACATGCACAGAGAACACTGTGTTTAAAATAATGTAAAAATTCTGCATAAACCATTCAGCAAATGGCTTTATTTCTTTGCCCTTTTTATTGAGGTATTTATCTTATATTGATATCTAGGCATTATTTAATCAGGAATTTAATCCTTTAGGTTTGATATATTTTCCTCTGTCATGTTGCCTGCTTTTTAACTGTATTTTATGGAGTCATACAGATATTTAAAAATGTGATGTAAAATGTATCAATCTGTTCTTTTAAGGCAGTGATTCTCAGTGATTTTGCCCAGGAGACATTTGGCAAGTCTGGTGACATTTTTAGTTGTTGGAGGGAGGGTCCTAGCAGCCTCTAGTAAGCAAGGATCAGGGATGCTGCTGAAAATCCTGAAATGTACAGGGCAGCTTCCATGACAAAGAATTATCTAGCCCAGAGAGTCAATAGTGTTGAGGAAGACTGCTTTAAGGCTTTTGTTTTGTGTGCCTTATTTAATAAGGAACTCCCTCTTCCTATAATATTAATAATCCACAAGTATTTTTTTAATTTACTAGGCACTATCCTGAGTGCTTTAATACTTTAACTCACTCAATTCCCATAACTCTATAGGTATGTACTATTATTATCCCTATTATATAGATTAAGAAACTCAGGTCCAGCACTTACCCAATGTCCTATAGGTAGTAGGTAGTGGAGCTGGGACTCAAACCAGGAACTCTGGTTCCAGAATCCATGACCTTAATCATCTGCTAAACTGCCCCCAAATCACAGAATATATTTTCTTCTAACACTTTTATAGTTTCAAAGATCTATTTGTATCTCAAATTCACCTGGCATCTACATCAATAGTGTGAGGGAGAGATCATATTCCTGTTGATTTTCCATGTGGTGTTATATGCTTGAAAGCTGCAGTAGGATCCTTAGTGATAGCTCTCATTAGCTCATTCTTGTTTGGAAAAAAAAGCAATAAAGTACCTAAAGGAAGTTCAGACAACAAAAATCATCACTATTCTGTCAAAGTCACAAAGTTTGATGAAAAATTTTAATTGCTAAAGATAATGTAGTGTAGTAGAAAGAGCATGATCTTTGTTTTTTTTAAATGATTATGTATAAATTTATTATTATTATTATTATTTTAGAGACAGGGTCCTGCTCTGTCACCCAGACTGGAGTGCAGTGGCACAGTCATAGCTTACTGAAGCCTTGAACTCCTGGATTCAAGTGGTTCTCCCAAAATTCATGATCTTTGAAGGCAAATAGATTTTGTTTCAATTTTGGCTCTGCACTTAATAGTCACCATCTTTTTTTTTTTTTGAGTTAGAGTCTCCCTCTGTCGCCCAGGCTGGAATGCAGTGGCACGCTCCTGGCCACCGCAGCCTCAGCCTGCTGGGCTCCGGCGATCCTTCCGCCTCAGCCTTCCAAGGAGCTGGAACTACAGGCACGCGCTATCACACCCAGCTAATTTTTTTGATTTATTGTAGAGATGAGGTCTCGCCAAGTTGCCCAGGTGGGTCTCGAACCCGCGGGCTCAGGCAATTCATTCACCTCGGCCTCCCAAGGCACGGGATTACAGGCTGAGCCACCGAGCCCGGCCAATAGTCACCATCTTTTATACCCTGTCAATGCATTGGTTTCCTCATATGTACAATTAAAAAATGCCTGCCTTGGGAGTAATGTATGGGAAGAACCCTGAATTGCTGGACTCCTGGTAAAATGGTGTCTATTTATAGAATACTAATCCAATACAGGAAGATAGCTAATTCTTCCCAGTGATTACGCTGACAACAGATCATTCCCAACATTACACCAATCATTCTATTAAATCTTAATTTTAAATGCATTTGAGGGGAAAAAAAGCTGAATAAATGGTATGTTTTCTTATATAGGAGCCAACCCAAAGCCTGTCATGGATAACTGTAACTAAAGCTATAGTCTCTAGTTTCAAAAGGGAGATGCTAGAGTGGAACCAGGGTTTACTGCAATTGTTATGCTTTATTTTAGTGATAAAGTGATAATTCCTAATGGCATCACTTGGCTGATGGGATAGATTAGCAATTACTTCGTGCTAGGTTTATTTTAGCATAACTGACTTTCCCTAGGAAATCATGAGTAGACTAATTCTTATTAAAGAAAGCTTGTGTTTGTTTGGGTTTTTAGCCATTTTTACACTCACCTAGACTGAGGACAGCCGTTCTAGACCACACTGCATTTTGTATGATTAAAAAGGCCAGGGATTCTGACTCTACCATTACTGGACAGCTTATTCTATTAAGTCAGAGAGAAAGATGTATGGGTTATTTTTCCCTGGTTATGTGTTTGTTCATTTGTTTATTTATTTAGCTGTTGCTATGTCCCCATGCTAGGTGCACTAGAAGATCAAAACATTGTTTCTGTACTTCGGCAGCTTAAAAAGCTGACTGGGCAGCCATAAAAATACAAGAGAAATTCAATGACAATGCAAGCCAAGAATATTCCTCAATGTTTGCCATTTTGAGTTGGAGCCAGTAATCATGCAGCTCTTCATCCGATCATATCACATCACTTCCCTTTGCCCTTTGGTTCAGGATCACTGTATCTGCATATACTTGTGTGAACCATACCAATACTTAACAGTCAGGCCCCAGTCTGTAGAGCCAGTATGTGTTGAATACTAAAGTGTACCCCTTAAAAATCTAGATCTGTGCTATGGCCAGGCACTGTGGCTCATGCCTGTAATTTCAGCATTTTGGGAGGCAGAGGTGAGAGGCATGTGCCCAGGGGTTTGAGACCAGCCTTGGCAAGACCTCATCTCTACAATAAATCAAAAAAATTAGCTAGCCATGGTGGTGCACCTGTAGTTCCAGCTACTAAGAAGGCTGAGACAGAAGGATCACCTGAGTGATCACAGGTCACAGGTTGAGACTGTGGTAGCTGTGACTGTGCCACTGCACTTCAGCTTGGGCAACATAGTGAGATGCCAACTTAAAAAAAAAAAAAAAGACTAGATCCATGCTATAATATGCATTCAATACCCCATATGTTGTAGAAATGCCTCCTTGGGAATTATCTTTGCTTTTAACCTCAAATGACATTATAGCCACCAGATTCACCAGATGTATTAAACTTTGGTTGTTTCCAATCAAAGTCCAACCATGCTACAGGAGAAAGCGTTTGTACCCTGAGAATAATCAAAACAATATGTTGGGCTTATCAATGCAAATCCCACAGTGGTGTTATTCCTTAAGGACAAGGAGGGGGCTTTGTATCCTCCTGCAAAAAAGTGCCTATACAAAGCAGGAGGTCAGGACATGATATGTGAATATTATTTATATGAATAGAAATGCAAGAATCTATACGTACACTCCATGTATGTGACGGGGGGCAGAGGGGAAGGATGAACTGAAGGGAACATGTGCCTGAATTTGAGAAATAATTTGGAGCCTAAAAGAGTAAGGAGTGGCTGGAATTATCCCTATGTGAGTGTGAGTGTGAGTGAGTATGTGTGAGTGTGAGAAAGTGTGGTCAGGCTCCAGAGAAGTGGACAGGCCAGAGGACCTAGAGCTCTGCTTGTGCCACAGACATGCTGAAAATCCCAAGCGATGTGTTTTTGTGTTCTGTCCCACAGCCATCTCCTCCAAAAGCAGAGACAAAAAAAGGGCTTAATGGAAGCAAAAGAGGTCAAGTAAGTATATGTATTTATCTACCACACTTCTGTATGACACTATTTATATATTCCCTGACCCTTTTTCTCTCCCGTAGTCATTTTGTTCCAAGACCAGGGCTGAGGCAAATGGAAACTCTATGGTGCTATTGCTCTAAGAGCACTAACTCAAGCACCCCAAGAACTGGAATCTCAGTCTGCTCTGCCTTCCAGCAGCAGTTGCCTGGCCAGCTGAAATCTCAGAGGGCTCAGAAACATTATGAATCAAAGGATTACACTGGACCCTGGAGGTGACATGCTTGAGAAGCTGAGTCTCTCAGACAGTTACCTGAGAGGCACATAGGATGTTTTAGATTTTAATTTTTTTTTACTACCAAAGAGAGAAAGAAGAGGCTCAAAATTATGTCCATTCCTTCCATCTGGTCCCCAAAAGGCACAGAAGCACCATTCCTGATGAACCATTGTGGGAACTCAAGAATTTGCTGGAGAATTAGGCAAACAGTCCTCCTTGTGAAAGTTGGTCACGCTGGTTTCAGGGGTCTTGGGAGATCAGCTGAACTTGGTCAATCACTTTGGTGACTTAGTGCTCTGATAGCTACACCTATTATATGCCTAAACTTCTAACAGTGGAACAACCAGTAAGAACCCTGGAGATCATGCAAATGGATGAAGATTTGCATCTACAACATCTGCTCTGTGAACCAGCAACCCTGGCCTTAACCTGATGTCAGGGACTTGAGAATCTGCTGAAGTCAAAAGAAGAGGGGCTAGTAAAAGAAAGATGATTTGGTAAAGATACAAAATTAAGTTTCTCCTAAGGACTGGGATAGAGAAGAGAAATATGTAATATGTACAGCATTAAGTAAAATCCTTGACAGTTGTATATGTTGGAATGAACACAGCACTCTAATATTAAGCCTTGCAAGAGAGATGGGGATGGCAAACAAGTAACCAATTCTCAGTGCTGTTCCCTTCATTCCAGCAAGTTGTTTTATGTGATTTGATAAACAGACCAAGATTAGCTCTTCTTCTGATCAGCTTTACTATTTCTTTTTTCCTGTTAGAAACAGGTTAGATTCTAGAGAGGCAGCTACACTATAATTAGGGGCATATACTCTGGAGCTAAACTTCCTGGATTGAAATCTTTTCCAAGTTACTTAACTCTGCAAATTAGAATCATAATATCTGTTTCATGAGGTTGATGTAAGGAGTATGCATATTTATGTAATGTGCTTAGAACAGTACCTAGCATTTAGTAAGCACCAAATAAGTGATTCATAGTTTAGGAGACTCCATAAAAAAACTCGACTGATAGACAATAATTTCCCCAACCATTCCTTTATTTATTAAATAAGTTTCCTCTTATTGACTAAAAACGTTGGGTGGTTTTTATAATTAACCAGTGCTATTAAGCCAGGCTCGGTGGCTCAGCCTGTAATCCCATGCCTTTGGGAGGCTGAGGTGAGTGAATTGCCTGAGCCCGCGGGTTCGAGACCCGCCTGGGCAGCGAGACCTCATCTCTACAATAAATCAAAAAATCAGCCGGGCGTGGTAGCACATGCCTGTAATTCCGGCTACTTGGAAGGCTGAGGCGGAAGGATCGCCGGAGCCCAGCAGGTCAAGGCTGCGGTGGCCGGGAGCGGCCACTGCACTCCAGTCTGGGTGACAGAGTGAGACTCCAACTCAAAAACAAACAAACAAACAAAACTAGTGCTATTAGCAGTAAAACCAGATTATTTACACCTGGGTTCATTTGCTCTTGCGTTTGGTAAACACACACACATATATACACACATGCACCTGAAGCACTCAGAATCACTGATATTGCTTCAAGTTACAACTGTATAGTAGCAATTTATGGTGAGGGCATATCAAGACCGACTTTGCAATAGTTGCCTTTCCTGGCGGTCATCTGGTTCTCCAAATCTGCTACTAAAATCCATACTCAGTATTGCTTCCTTCAGCGGCCCTTCAATCTTTTTTAAAAATAAAACTTCTCCTGGGCTAGGGATAGTGGCTCCTGCCTATAATCTCAGCTCTTTGGAAGGCTGAAGCAGGAGGATTATGAGGCCAGGAGTTCAAGATCAGTCTGGGCAACATAGCAAGACCTTATCTCTATTAAAGCAAAAATAAAGTAAACCAAAAACATGTACTGACGGCTACATTTTTAAAGTTTTATCAGTTATGTCTGTCTAGAGGAAAACAGAGGAAAGAGCAGGTTTGGAGGATGAGGACTAGTAGAGTTAGAGACAGCTAGGGTGAGCATTAACAGGGAGAACCTGGAAATTTACCAATCTGGTGGTTGTGACTTTGGTTAGCCCCATGGCAATGAACAACAGAGCCAAGAAAGAGAACATAGACACACTAAGAAAGAAAAGTATGCTCCCAGACCAAACTTAGAGACCTCAGGAGTATGAAAATTACTCCCAGATACTGCAGGAGAATCATATGCCCAAAGTCTTGCAAGGAGGAGGGATCTAGAAGTAAGATTAATTGAGAATCAAAGGGCCTGATCTTTGGAGAGGTGTATCTGGTTATAAACTATGCCCATCACAGGAAACTCCAAGAACATTAATGCTCTGTATTGCATTATTTCCTTTTGCTCTTGCAGCAGCAGACCACTGGCAAGATGTCGCATCTTGGCTGTTTAACCATTAACTATGACACCATAGAGCAGCCACTGCTTCTAATACAGGGAATCTGTGCAAACCTGGGATTAGAACTGGGAACAAACCTGCATCTAGCCATCAATTGTGCTGGACATGAGTTGATGGACTATGTAAGTTTCCATTTCAGATCATTCACTTCTTGTTGAAGTTAATGATTTTTAAATTAGAACTCAAAAGAAGAGCTTATCTGACTGTTTTCCAAATAGATCCTTTTTTGGGGGAGGGGTTCTTTGTATCTCTTGTGTTTGGCTGGTCACGATCCTTTTGTTTTTTATTAAAATTGTGTGGGGGATCCAAATACTAATGAAGCTGAGAAAGCCAAATTAGCTAATGACTCCAGAATAACATAACCATATAATTTTTAAAAAAATAATAACAAAATGTCATACTTATAGGTAGAAATTCTATAATAAAAATGAAAATGAGTTACATTGCAACCATAAAAGTTATTGAAAAATAATTTAACAAACTGGCATGATAATCATTTGGCTGGTAAATGCTAAATTTGTCAAGCTTGAAAGTGGGTCAATTGTACCTATGACTTGATAGGCCCTTCTAGACATGTGGTTCTTAGAACTTATGCTGAACTCACTTTTGAAATATAAAACTATCAGCTGGGCTCGGTGGCTCAGCCTGTAATCCTGCGCCTTTGGGAGGCTGAGGTGAGTGGACTGCCTGAGCCCGCGGGTTCGAGACCCGCCTGGGCAGGCGAGACCTCATCTCTATAATAAATCAAAAAATGAGCCAGGCGTGGTAGCACGCCTGTAATTCCAGCTACTCGGAAGGCTGAGGCGGAAGGAGGTCGAGGCTGCGGTGGCTGGGAGCGGCCACTGCACTCCAGTCTGGGCGACAGAGTGAGACTTCAACTCAAAAAGAAATATAAAAATATCTCCATGGTATTGAAGTTTATGAAGAATATGTTTTTGTTTTTGCTTTTTTCCCAACTAAACACTTCACAGTGTTATCAGCAGCCTGGGTTCGCAGTTCAGAGCCTCAGTAATGAAATTTCACCTGGGTTGCCACCCACCTGAAGAGAGGTATTTTACAAAGAGGATGGAAAACAGATTCATTAAAAAATGTCCTAGTTCTCACTTTCTCAGGAAAATACAACAAAAATTTACCTTTAAACTTGGGAAAGTGGTATGTTAGGAAAGCTATTAGAAGTTTTCTCTATTATATGCATACACATCCTTCCCATTTTCCCATTCAACACACAATTGCTGAGCCTAAGTTTTATAAAATGCCCAGAATACTGATATAGATTTACAGTGACTTGGTAATTAGTGTTAAATTCAGAGAACATGATGAAGTAGGATTCTGCTTTAACTGTAATTCTAATTTTAACTACAATAGAAATTCTGAACAATATATAAGAACCCTAAATTTCAGTTGACTTCTAAAAGTTCTCTTACTTTTCTAAAGAAACTAAGCACATAAAGGAATGTTTAAAGTAATTTCCTATTCCTCACTAATGATTGCTTCCTAGGCATACCATTAAGAAAAATAATTGCATGTTTTCATCAGCAGTGTATACAGGAACTATGAATATACTGACTGCTAGTGCTAACTAGAATGGGTATTTATTGCTTACATTCAGTAAAATGTATTAACTTGATATCAGATAATTTTACAATAATGTTCAAAGTCATTAGCATTTCCTCACTGACAAGATAGGATTTTTAAGCTTTCCATTAAACATGCATAGAAGCTAAAAGTTCTTGCTGCTGTTTAACGTGAAAAAGTACAAACTCCCTTCAATTACAGACTTCTTAGGAGCTGCTTAATTCCCATGGAATCCATTCCATTATCATCAGCAGCAGGAAGGCATTAGCAAACCAAACAGGCTCTGTTCCGTTCCACCTCCCTCCCAGTACCTAAATATCCCAGGTGTCATCCCTGATCCCAGGTGCCATCCGTGAACAGACTTGAAAGTAAGGGTGCTTTGCTTTGCAGAAAGACTACACTAGATCCTGTAGCCCTGTTTACTTCTCTATTTAATGATCCAGGGTTTTTTTAAGACTTCAAATGAATGGGGTTGCGTTAGAATTCTACTTTCAGTATAGTATTGCCACTACTACCTGAAGTTACATGCTATCCAAGAAACAAATGCCTCGCAGAAGTCACTTTCTACTTCATACTGGTTGCTAGTATCTCAAAAGTCTAGCTCTGCTTTCAAATTTTAGAATATTTACATCAAAGGAAACAAGGTATTTGTTCATTGTGATTGGAAACATGGTGGATCTAGTGAGTGGGCAGGTTTGTGTTGCTATTCTGTTTGTTGTGTTATGAACTTATGTTATTGTCCATATACCCAGGCAGCTAGGTATCTGGTATCATGTTATAAACCTAAATAACATGTTATTCCCTTCCTACTCTGTGTTTTGTGCAGAAGGCTTAATCTGAACTCTGTGGGAAGAGCCCTATGGAGTATTAAGAACGGTGACTTGATTTCCCCAGGTTAATATTTAACAGATATTTAAAGTAGAATGCATAGATTTCTCAGATTTTCAGGCTGGCCTGAAAAGAATCTGTTACAATCTCATATAAAATTAATGCAAAGGAATTTACATTTGATGAATTCATTGTTTATCCTTTATTATTTTCCTCACATATATCAGACTAAAGGAAAGTATGAAGTAATGATGGGTACATACAAAAATGCAGCTGAGATGGTTGATCTGTATGTGGATCTGATCAACAAGTACCCTTCAATTATTGCCTTAATTGATCCTTTCAGGAAAGAGGTAAGCAGAACTCACCTTTTATAACATATGTTTTATATAGCATAAGATAGGCAGGACTCACATTTTATATAATAAAACAGAATAAAAGCTCATTCTTTTGGATCTCTGTCATTTGAAATGTGTTGTAATTTAGGCTGGGCTGAGTTACTTTGATTTCAGCATTTATGAGAAAAGGCACTTACTAAGCAAATGAATAGCAGAAACACAATTACCTGGGAGTGTGCCTGTCTAGGGAGTGAAACAAGCTATTTGCAAGCCCTTCAGGAGTACCTGTATATTTACAAGCAAACAAACTGATGGAAGCTGCCCCTGCTGTGCTAGCTGGAGCTTCAATAGGTTAATCATATATTATTTTCATGTGCTCGGGGAAACAGAACTTCTACAAGGTCTAATATTTTTTAACCTAAATCCAGTTACTACATAAATAAAATGTAACAAAGCAGTATTTTTTAAAGGTTTGAGATATTGTGGTTTTGTGGTCTGTTCAGACTAATGCACTTGACAAGGGTTTACATGCCCCAGACCATCTCTCCTCCTAACCTACTTAAATTTCAAATTTTAAATTCTTGATTTTATGAATTTGAGAACCATCAGATAGACTGAGCAGATATACTGAACAGCAGTCCTCTTTGAAATAGCTCAACTATTTAGATTTGGAGACAATATGAATGCTGAATCTCATTGGAGTCCCAGGGTCTACCAGTCCCATCCTCCCTTTCACAGACTATGCTCACAAGCAGCTCTTGTGGAAGGCACTGACTGAGCTTAGCTATTTAAACTTGCCAGACCAGTCTTGGGCTGATTGTCCTGAAGCTGACTACAGTTTTTTTTGTGTGTTGTTGTTGTTGTTGTTTTGAGTTGGAGTCTCACTCCATTGCCCAGGATGGAGTGCTATGGCACACTCAAAGCCATCCCAGCGTCTACCTGCTGGGCTCCAGTGATCCTTCTGCCTCAGTCTTACAAGTAGCTGGGAACAAGCTACCACGCCCAACTGATTTTTGATTTATTGTAGAAACAAGGTCTCATCAAGTTGCCTGGGCTGGTCTCAAACCCACAGGCTCAGGCAATCCACTCTCCTCGGCCTCTCAAAGTGCTGGAATTACAGGCTGAGCCACTGAGCCTGGCCAACAGCTTTTGCAATGTGACAGGATGTGTGGTCTGTTCTACTGGGATAAGATGACATCTGTTATAATGGTTGGGATCACCTTGTGTGCATGTTAAACATGGCATACACATGGAGTATAATATCCAAGTAAGCATTTCATTTTATATAGTGGACTCATTAATAAAAATAAGGGTGTTAAGAAAAACCCTTAAGAAAAAGCCTTGCAGGCTCTTTTTTCCAGTTTTCTGTTTATCAGAAGTAACAGGAAAATCTATTCAGCCAGTCTTTAGCAGAATTATGGATAATACAGCAGATGGGAATAGCCTGGGTTTTAAGAACTCTACAATCAATGTGGGAAATAGCATTTAGTGTTTTAATGTTTTATCCATAAAACCTTTAAACACAAATTTAATAACTTTTAGTTTCCATTCCATGAAGCTTATTAATCTATGTGGCTGTGTATAGGGATTATTAGGCATAGAAGTTAAAAAAAAAAAACTGTTTTGTGTATCTCAGGAAAAGCATATGACTTTGATGATGTTATATTATCCCTGTTGTTTTGTTATTATGTTCATACATTAAAATGATCAATTCTTAAATATTCATCCAGGACTCTGAACAGTGGGACAACATCTATAATGCACTTGGCTCCAGGTGTTACATAATTGCAGGAACAGCATCCAAAAGCATTGCTAAACTTCTAGAGCATGGAAGCATCAGCATCCCCAGAGCCAGTGGGCTGATCATAAAACATACCAATCAAACCACAATGTCTGACTTGGTGGAAATAACCAATCTGACTGACAGTGAGTAAAAGTATAGATCTGAAAGACTCATAATGACTTGGTTATACAAGAAGCCAAAAATACACAGTATATCAAAGTTAATTAAAAAGCATGGAAGAAATCTTGGAAGGAAGAAAAGTGCTAAAAACAAAATGCAGCTTGCTGACTCGCTTTACAATATTCCACTAACAGCCTGAGTCCACAAGGCTGTCCTCTTTACTGAGGGCTACCACAGGGGTATGACCAAGGCCACTGCCTTGTCAGATTCACAGTGAAGAGGATCTTTCTGCCCCTGATGGGCTGATTTCTCCTGAAAGGGCATATTTATCAATTTGCTTTAAACTCTGAGCTTGAGCTATAGAAAAACTAAGAGAAATCTAGAAGGACACCCCAACCCTAACTGCTAAAGAACAGGTCTCAAACCCTTAACCATGGATTGTAGAACATCTGGGTACCCATCTGCCCTAGCCAGGTCTCCAGACACAATGCAGTGTTCAAGCTGAGAAAAACAGCTTGCCATTCGCAGAGGCAAGATGTCCAGGGTCAAGGAACCCCAGACACAGAATATGTTTAGCCTGTATCACACTGCTGCAGCATGGGAAATTCTCTCCTAGTACTATCGCTTTATGCTCTAGATTTGCCTCCCCAACATCTTAAGAATGAGAGCCATACCTCTTTCTTCCACATAAGCACAGCTCAAGTAAGGATGCAATACTTACTTGATTGAAAATAAACTTAGCCACTTGTTAATATACCCAGACACTAGTGGACAATTTTAATTTGTACTGACTTGGGGAAGTCTAAGAGGGATCAAAATTTGGAATTAGATCACCTGCTGCAGGGAGTAGGTCTACTTCAGCAGTTGAGAAAACAGGCAAGGAGAAGATCCAATCAGAAGCAGGAGGCAGTTTTCTGTCAGTACAGAAACTTGAGGCAGGGGTTGGCTCACTACTTATTAACAGGCAGTACTAGAAAACTGCTGAGCAGGTTGGCAAGGCAGTAGAGCATCAGGGAAGCCCCTGGAAGCAGGGCCTTAGCCAGCAAGGTGGGGTACAGGAGCAAGATCCCAGCATTGGAGATCAGGGGGATGAAAAGCCAGGCTCCGATGCTGTTATGTGTGGGATACCAGAGAGTGGGTTTAGGTAGTACCAAGCAGTCAGGCATTTTAGAATTGGACTTAATCTTTACAGCAACGGTATGAAGTAGACACCATCATTTCCATTTTACTGATGAAAAACAAGCTCGGTGAGATTGGGCAGCTTTCCCACTGTACGACAGCAACCCCATTTTCCTAGTTTTAAGTCCTCAGTTTTCAAACTCTTTTTTTTCTTTGAGTTGGAATCTCGCTATGTCACCCAGACTGGAGTGCAGTGGCCGCTCCCGGCCACCGCAGGCTCGACTTGCTGGGCTCCGGTGATCCTTCAGCCTCAGCCTTCCAAGTAGCTGGAACCACAGGCACGCGCTACCACACCCGGCTAATTTTTTTTTTATTTATTGTAGAGATGAAGTCTCGCCAAGTTGCCCAGGCGGGTCTCGAACCCGCGGGCTCAGGCAGTCCACTCACCTCAGCCTCCCAAAGGCGCAGGATTACAGGCGTCTTGTACACCTATGCACAGTACCTGAAACATAGAAATACCATGAATAAGTCTCAGACCTGAAGCAGGACTCAGAGCCAGACTGGAGGCAGGGGCCTGGGTTGCCGCCAGAGAATGGAAGGAAATGCCCAGGTAGGGCTGGCTGTAGGTGGTAGGTGGCAGACCGGGAGGCCTCTCTTCTGGGGCCTACCACTCAGCAGTCATTCCGTCCTCCACTTTAAAGTGCTGCTGCAGCTCCTGCCTCAAATGCTAGTAGCACTGGCACTCGAGGAAGCTCTGGCTGGCACTCTTCATAGACTGGCAAATTTCAAAGGGTTCTGAGACCCTCAAATGACTGGCTAAATACTACCAACAGTGCTCTAATAAACATTCAGAATGATAGAGTCCTTTGAATAAAATTCTACATGAGGTGAGAAAGCCATTATGTAGGCCTAGCAACTCCACCTATGTTGCTCTTGCATATTTCATCGACTCAAAGATGCACATTTTTCTACATTGAGCAGTAACAAAATTGAATCGTGGCTTAGAGATGTGTCGATCTAAGTTGAGCACCACTCCCCCTCATTTTAGTGGTAATGATGGTACATCTTACAAATAATGCACCTTAAAATTGATGAAATATGGCATTCACTTAGTATTTACGGCATCTAAACTACTGGAAAAAGGGGCAAACAGATAACACGAGGGAAATAAAAATGTAAACGTTAGAATTCTTAGGTCGTTGAATAATTGTTTGACTCTTCACAGTAAAGTTTTAAATCTGACAATTTTTTATTTTGATCCCAGAGGCTCACAAATTTGTTTCTACACCATATAAAACTGAAGGGAATTCCTCTTATAGGTAAGAAGTACATCACTGTCTTAGGAAGTACAGAAGGAGAGTCGTCTGATGACAGCCTTGTCGATTTGGTAAGTGCTGATCGCTGGTCAATTGCAGAATTGCCAAAACACTGCTTTTATCAAGAATTGGTATTTCAGAGAAATGCAGTCTTAGGTGGAGAAAGTCATGTAACCTTTTATGAAATAGACTTGCTTTCTCCCAGACAGCTACCTTTTGCAAAGAGCTAATCTTTGAACTTTTAAAGAGAAGAAAAATTGAAATCCAGGGAAAATGAAGAGCACACTTAAATGACTGGGGTGTGCACTTGCAATCTTCCTTCCTAAAATGAAGTGAGAAAGGCCAGAATGTTCTTAGATAAAATCAGCATGCTTACATGACTAGTAAAGCGCCTGATGTATGATAGTCACAGTTTGCCTTTCAGCACTCTCAGCTTGTGAGGTGGCCACCATACTTATGTAAAGATACAAACTAAGTTATGAGAGAAAAACACAAATAGCACACCGTGACTTTCCTTTCACCTTAAAGAATTATTTGTAGTTTAGCAAGACATGACTTCGCCATTCAAAACAAGTTGTTTTTCCCCCTCAGGCCGTTGGGCTTGGTGTCCGGTTTATCAAGTTGGGGGGTCTTTCTCGTGGTGAACGGGTGACTAAATACAACCGTCTTCTTACTATAGAGGAAGAACTTGTCCAGAATGGAACACAGGGTATGCACTGCTTTTCTTGCTTTGTTTTCACTTAGCCATGAATAAGCGAACAAAGATTGGAAGGGGGGAATAGAAGTCCCTCGGCAGGAGGGCAGGGGAATCCAAAGACCATAAATAAGTGCTGACAAAACTAGGATGGCACTTGCCACAATGTACATTGTTGTCTTAATGGATTATCTATTTACCTGAATGTTTAAAACTCTCACCCTTTTTCTTGCTGAATAGGCTGTGCGATGCTTTTCAATAGAATTAATTGATTGGAATCTCCAAGCCTACCTTTTGTTATGGTCCAAATTATACTTAAGGTTTCTCTGCACAGCCCATGAAAGTTAAAGGCAGATGTTTTCCTGGTGATTTTTAGAAACAACTCATTTTACTTAAAACAAGTGCCAGCATTTTAATTTTAATGCTGTGCCTTGGAAAGACTAAAGTTTTAAGAGAAACGAACCAATCAATTATGAAATCAAACTTTTGTAAATTGCGCAATGTTAGAAGCACCTTGTGTATTGGGTAACCAGAAACATGCCAAATATGCATTTTATTTGTATTACCGATTGTGATGGTCAAAAGGAGGTACATAGCATGCCGAGAAATTTAAAGAGCCCGGTAGAAACTGTGATTATAAACTTATCATGTTAACATAGTGTTCTTGAAACGTATACTAAGTGTCATAGAAAATAAAGATTACTGGGAGACTGTGAGTCCTAAAAGTGCAGTCAAAAGTTACTTTGTATTGTTTAATGTATAACAGAATGGCTAGTTTTTAAAAATAGGTAAAATTATATTGTTCCACATATTGTCTGGTTATTTTTTCATGTCATATTGACTTGTGGAGGCCTTAGATTCCTTAAATGACCAATCACAGTTCCACCTAGACTTTATCACAAGGGAAACAGCTGCCTCAGGGCATGAAAAAAGACTCTAGAGACCAGAGGCCCAGCCCCTCTCTGGTGATGGTGCAGCCTCTCTGTATTCTGGAATGGATTGAAGGATTAATGAGAATTTCTCTGACATTGGCAGTCATGAATCTGGAAAATCTTTAAAAACACAAACTTAAAAATGGGAAAATCTCTCCTTTCTCACTTTTGAGTAGAAAATCTTGGCAAAAATTCAGTCATTAAAATACCGTGGGTACTTACACAGGCCTGGCTGGAATAATTACTTGGCAATGGTCTTCATTCACGTACAGTACTGACCTTTTCTCTAGTTCATCTTCTTCCTCTTATCCTTTTCTGCTAAGCCTCTGCCTAAAGTCCACTGTACATCATCAGATGTTCCAGAATGGTGACTTACGAGTATAATGCAAATTGAACAGAACAATTGCACTGCACAGCTGACGTAAAACCAAAGACAGGCCCAGTGTTAAATGGCTTTGAAATCCTTTCTGCTGGTAATGTGATATTTCTGGACAGTTCTCAAGATAATCTTCAAATCATGTAGTGAAAAAAAACAATAGCACCACTGGAATAGACAGTAAACTTTATTATTTTTTTTAATAGGTTTCAATGAGGAACACACTTTTTTTTGCTTTAATAAAGAAGCTGAAAATGCTGCTGAGGCACTTGACGCTGCTGCTGCTGTGGCTGGTGAACTGCTCAAGCCCCTGGAGCCCACCTCCCCCACACAAATCGTGGAGGACTCAGCCAAAACAGGAACATCTTCTAGATAGGGCTATATATGCTCCCATTTACAGCCATACTATCAGTATTATTAGACTGCTAGGTTTTAGGTACGTCTCCATATTGGGTTTGCTCTTAAATGTCACTAACTCATGCTCTTTTTCTTTTAATTTCACTGTTTGGTAAATTACATATATGGTGTTTCTGCCTGAAATTATATATGTGAACTTTGTTTTACAGCTATCACATTTCCGTGAAGATTTCGTTTGTATAACTCTACTGCCCATTTTTCAGGGTCATTATCCAGTAAGAGGCCAAATATTTTTGTTGCCAAACTCTGTCAAACACCTCATCCTTAATAAATCAGAATATCTCTAAAAACAAAACCTCATGGCACTAGAAGCTCTCTGTGCCAGAAACAGGTACACATCTTCCATGTTTACTTTACACATCTGTGCTGGAAAGCATAGACACATTTTTGTAGCAACCTTATGCAGAAATATGAGAGCATCACTGTTTTTTGTAACAGCCAAACAGCTTCATCTTACTTTTCTGCCCTTAATTATTTTTTCCTGATTTCCTTCTTTTTAAAAATTTGTTTTTCTTGTATGATTTTTTTTTTATCTTTGTGAGTCTCCTTAGATCCTTTTTGAAATAAGGATATAAATGAATAAGCACATCAGTGAATAAATAAATATTCTCAAGGTTACGAAATGCCCAGTTATATACTACAGCATTTAAAAAGCAACCAGGTGATTAAAAAGGATGTGACATATATGTTTACTGAATTGCCTCTTTTGTAAGAGATGTACCAGAAATGAACAGATTCAAGCACATGCATACAGATATAATAATGTCCGACAGTTTTAGATGATTTAGAGTCTCCATTCAAAGGGTTACCATTTACTTTTTCTAAATATTATACAAATTGCTACGTACTGGTCTGCAGGAGAGTTAGCTAAGTTTAGACTTCTAATAAATTCTATAAATTGTTACTAAGCACACTGAGGACCTCTCCTTTTGAAGAACACTAGCAAGGGAACTTAATGTCCTCATGGTAGAGCAAGCTTCTTCCTTTCAAAGCTACGATTGGAAGTTGGCTCAGTGGCAGGCCCTCTCAGAGAATGGATGGAAGGCTTGGCCGGCAGTACTCTAAGTTGGGAGAACTGTGTCACTGTTTGTGGTTGCTACTGCTTTCCTGATGCTTAGCAACAAACAATGGGTAGGAGAAACTGGAAAGAAAATTTATTTTAAAGGCAAGATGAACATGACTGGATGTTCATGTAGGCTTTGCAAATATCCTCAGGAGCACATGCATGCATGTGCGCGCGCGCGCGCACACACACACACACACGAATTATATGAGAGTATGCCCTGGAACTGTGATATAAATTATTATTAAATTACTGAAACCACAGGAAAAATGTGAAACTAATAACAAAAAAACTAAATTAAATGAATCCTAAGAGGTGATTTATTACCTTAACCAGATCAGCACTTAAATTTCAACAAAGAGCAGAGTGTACACACCTATCCTCACTTAAAAGCTGGGCTCGAGAGAAGAGGCAAGATGGCGACGGGGCAACCCGGTCTTTGAAGCCTTCTGTAAAGGAGATCTGCAGTGGGTCTCTGACTCTCGCCCCGGGGAGCTGTGGACCCCAACATTGCAGCCTGCTCTTCATACGGAGCTCGGCCGTTCCCACCGCTGGGACATCGCAACGGACTGGACAGTCACTGCAGCGCAAACGGTGCCGCTGCCGCAGCCCCTCCCGCCGCCGCCGCTGCCTCTGTGACAGCCGTAGCACAGCACACCACCCAGGCCAAGGCGATCCACATCAAACCCCTTTAGGGAAGATCTGCTGGGATCGCTGCCACCTCCTGCGACCGAGACTGTCCTGCCCGCCTGCCATAAGGCTCCTGTTGCCTGCTCTGAGGCAGGCAGCCATCTTGTTCCTGTCCGGCCCCACCCCCTCTGGGGCGAGCAGCTGAGATAGCACCACCTGCTGGCAATTCAAGGCAACAACACCGAAACGGGAGAAACAAGCTTGATAAAGACATAGACCAGAGTGCTGAATGGAGGGTAATCTGAACTGTCCTTCACAGCAGATCAGGGGCAACTGACCCTAACTGCAAACTACTTTACCAGCTTGAAGAGAAAACTAGAAATCAGAACTGAAAGGGCACTGAACTTAAACGAAATGTCTCAGAGTATGCTTCATTGATTCTGTTAGTTTAATGACTTAATTCTATTCCTACTGTATTGTTCCCTTTTTTCTTTATTCCTTTTCCTTTTCTTCTCTTTTCTTCTCTCTGTAAACCATATCTTTGTATAGAGGAACAGCACACTAACAAGGTGGTTGGTTAGCTTGTATGTTAACATCACTATATGATTTTTTTTTTTTTTTTAGTTGGAGTCTCACTCTGTAGCCCAGACTGGAGTGCAGTGGCCGCTCCCGGCCACCGCAGCCTTGCCTGCTGGGCTCCGGAGATCCTTCCGCCTCAGCCTTCCGAGTAGCTGGAATTACAGGCGCGCGCTACCACACCCGGATAATTTTTTGATTTTATTGTAGAGATGAGGTCTC